GATGGCTAATGGGACATTTGATTTCATAGGCCTTCAGTCTCGTCGTGTACAGAGTCTTCTTCCACCCCCTTGCCAAATATCCTGGTCCTTTCCTGGCCAAAATCACCGATGCATACCAGCTTTATCACGCTTACAAGGGCGACCGCCACCTTGAGTTCTGGCGCATGCACCAGAAATATGGTAAGAAGAATCGAACTCCGAGAGACTCCTTCTTCTTCTCCTCCTCCAGACTTTGGATTGCTGACACAAAAGCTTCCAGGCAAGGTGGTTCGATTCGGCCCCAACTCCGTCTCCTTCAACTCCAACCAGTCCCTCAAGGAAATCTACGGCTTCAAATCCAACGTGCGCAAGGCCGAGTTCTACGATGCCTTTGTCCACCCAGCCGCCAACACGCACAACACGCGCGACAAGGACGTTCACGCCCGCAAGCGCCGCGTCCTGTCGCACGCCTTCTCCGAGAGCGCCATGAAGGAGATGCAGCGCTACATCCTGGGCAACGTCCGCACCTTTTGCGGCCAGATCGGCCTCAACGATGGCGGCGCCGACGCCAAGGGCTGGACGAAGCCGCGCAACATGAGCGACTGGTGCAACTACCTGGCCATGGACATCCTGGGCGACCTCAGCTTTGGCAAGGCCTTCCACATGCTGGAGAGGCCCGACAACCGCTTTGCGCTGGAGCTGGTCGAGGCCGCCACCACGCGCCATCTCATCTGCGGCACCATGCCCATTGTCGACAAGCTCAAGATTGACAAGTTCCTGTTCCCCAAGCTGGCTGCCGGTCGCGCGAGATACATGGCCTACAGCAAGGGCCAGCTCACCGAGCGCACCAAGCTCGGCGAGGAGACGGATCGACGCGACTTCTTTTACTACCTGCTCAAGGCTCGCGATCCCGAGACCGGTCACGGGTTCAGCACTCCTGAGCTCTGGGGCGAGTCCAACTTGCTGTAAGTGTTTGGGAGAAGAATGCGTTGGAGAAGCTACAATGAGAGAAGCTGCTGGGCGTCCGTCTTGGCAAGTTCTCCTTTTTTGCTGACTATGAGTGTTGTAAAATAGCATCATTGCCGGTTCAGACACCACGTCCACCGCCATGGCCGCAACGCTATTCTACCTGGTGCGCAACCCGCACGCCCTGAAGCGAGTGACGGAAGAAATCCGCACCAAGTTCAGCGACGTCGAGGAGATTGTCCACGGCCCCCTCCTGGGATCGTGTGCCTACCTCCGCGCCTGTGTCGACGAGGCTATGCGCCTCTCGCCATCGGTGGGCGGCATCCTGCCCCGTGAAGTCCTCCCCGGCGGCATCACCATCGACGGCCAGACCCTGCCGCAGGGCACCGTCGTCGGAACTCCCCACTACACCATCCATCACAACGAGACCTACTACCCTGTTCCGTTTGGCTACGCGCCCGAGCGCTGGCTGCGCGGCGAGGTCAACCCGCTCACCGGCAAGACCATGACGGAAGACGACGTTGCCCTCGCCCAGAGCGCCTTCTGCCCCTTCTCCATCGGACCCCGTGGCTGTATCGGCAAGGCCCTGGCCTACGTCGAAATGACCATTACCTTGGCCAGAACAATCTACCTGTACGACTTGCGACGAGCCATTGGCGTCGTTGATCCCGGCGAAGGCCGCGCCGACCTCGAGTGGGGGCGACACCGCGTGACGGAGTTCCAGCTGGTTGACACGTTTACCAGTGCCAAGAAGGGTCCTATGGTTGAGTTTAGAAAGGTTGAAAGGGCCTAAGTGCGGCGTTTGGCCTCTTTGTGGACAAGAAAGCAAAGATGGGGATTAGGGTATAATGGTTCAACGGCATTCACGGACGGGTAAATCTGTGGTTTCTGGCTTTTTCTTTTGCGACTAGTAGTTGCTGCATTAGGGAGACGGTGATGATGGGGTGGAAGATACTAGTTGTTAATTCTGATTGAAAAAAAAATTTGAAACCTCATCTGCGGTACTTCTGTGATGATATATATATTTTTTCTCCCTTTTTTTTTTGGCTTCTCCATTTTGTGAACGGTCAAACTCAACATGGCTGCTGTAGATGGGGTTAACGAGGCATATTCTGATGCTGTGACGGGCCTTTGGGTGAACCTAAGCATCATTTCATCGATGGCTAATTCGGGGTCTTGTGAGTCTCATGTAGGAGTCGTACATTATTATTATTTTTTATTGCAGTGCCAAAAAGACATAATAGTATCGTCGTGGTTGAGACGCCTAGGTACTTACCTACCTGAGGTAGGTAGATTAGAGGGACCGAGTAAGCGCAGCCACTGTCAGCCCCACTGTCCGCGCTTCCTGGCTGGCAGGTTCTGCGCAGGACCCTCCCCTGTGTGCATGCACAAGGTTAAGTACCTAGGTAGTTAACTACGGAGTACCTGCCTAAGGATATGACCAGCCCACCAACTGCATCAGGCTCGCAAGGCTGATGGATTTCGTCTTTAGGTCTCGAGCTGCAACGCCCGACTGACCTCAGCCCAAGATCTGGTTGCTCTCAACGGATCGGTTGCGCCTCCACGAGGTCGAGCAGATTGATTTTGCCAAAGACTGCTCACATTTTCAGTTCCTCGGATTGATCCAGCTCCCGACATGAAGTTATAGCCGCCGAAACTACCGACTCTCGAGCCCTTCGTTCGAGCGAACCGTCCACCATGGCGATATGCAAATTCTACCAGCAGGGCAATTGCAAATTCGGCAGTATGTTCACCCCAAGGACAAGACATTTCCCAGATCCAGGTGTCCAGAATTGATGATTGACCCTGTACGCAGACAGTTGCCGGTTTGAACATCCCGATGCTGGAAATGATCGAAACCAAAGCCAGAATCGCTTCGGCACTCTTGCTTCCGGAGCAGGAGGTGGCAGCAGCGGAGGATTGCAAGATGCACTCGGTAAAATGAATTCTTCGTCCATCACTGACTAATAGCGACGCTGACTCTCTGCACTCGCAGCCAAGTACAGCATCGCCACCGATACCATGGTCAAGGACCTGACGAGCGAGGTCCCGCAATGGATTCTGTCGGCTTACGCGCCGGGGAGAAATGCCCCGGAGCAGCTGTTTGGAGGATACCCTCGAGAACAGAGCTTCGAAGAGATGAGGTTACACTTTATGATGGGCAGGGCGGCAGGGAATGAACAACAGGCTGTGAGTAGCCCACTTGGATACTGAAATTTTCTTCTTTCTTTTCTTTTTTCCCCAAAAAGCACTGGAATGTTCTAACCCATTTGCAGCTCAATCAAGCACAGGAGCTCTATCAGAATGCCCAACAACAAATGCAAAATGCTGTACGAAATATCGACGAAGCTGCCCGATTCGTTGTAGAGGCCGAGAACAAGCACCCCAACCGATTGGATGTCTGCAGAGAAGGATCTCAAGGGGCTCCCTTTGGTGAGTTCCAGGTTGGAAAAAGACCCAGGGGTATTGCTCAGCCCGCGCAAGCCAATCCCTTCAGCACCGGCTCTACCAACACCTCATCACCGTTTGGCCAAGCTTCTGCTCAACCAACGCCGAGTGCCTTTGGGCAGCCAGCAGCCCTGGGACAACGACCAAATCCTTTTGGTACACCGGCATTTGGCCAACCGACGCAGCCTAGTTCGGCATTCGGCCAGCCTTCTCAGCCATCGTCGGCATTTGGACAGCAATCATCGCAGCCGGCGGCCCCGGCGTTTGGGCAACCGTCCCAGCCTACATCCGCCTTTGGACAAGCATCTACCCTTGGAGCCAAGCCGAGCCCGTTTGGAACGCCGTCATTTGGTCAGTCCACTCAGCCTACGAATTCACAACCCAGCGGATTTGGCCAGCCCAGTCAACTGGGTGTGAAGCCGAACCCCTTTTCCTCTGGTGGCGCGGCAAACCAAGGTCCCAGTCCGTTTGGATCTCTGGGAACTGCCAACAATGCACAAGCCCCTGCGACAGTCAACCCCTTTGCGAGTTCAAACGTCAATCAGAGCAATGCTACACCGAATCCCTTTGCATCTAATACTTCGAACCAGAACAATACCAGCCAGCCCAGTCCGTTTGGCCAACAACAACCAACACAGAATCAAAGTCCATTCGGCCAAGCTTCAAAGCCGAACCCCTTTGCTTCCACTACTACAACGGCAAACCAACAGGTGAGCAACCCGTTTGCTCAAAACACCCAAAGCCAAACCAACGGTGTCTTTGGAAAACCCCCTCCCAATCCATTCGGCCAGGGTGCCTCACAGCAGCCGAGCTCCTTTGGATCGGCAAGCCAGCCCCAACAAACTGCTGCTCCTGCAACAGGCGGTAATAATCCGTACCCTCCCGCGAGCACGAAGCAGCACCCTTCCCTGGAGAGCTACGCGTCCAAGAATATGGATGGGACGCTGGCAGCGTTCAAAGGCAAGCCTGTTACCTACAAGGACGGCAAGCCGGGAATCAGAGCACTCGACGGAACTTGGACACGCATATGGTTCCCCGGCGGCCCGCCGGGGTATTACAAGGATACTGAACTCCCTCCTGAAGCTTACGACGAGCAGTCCAAGGCTCAATGGGAGGCGTTTGCGCAAACGGGCCAGTTTGCAGATGGCATGATGCCCGAGTTGCCGCCGCCTCGGGAGTGCACACGGTGGGATTTTTGAAGAAATTGTACACATGGTCATGGTTGGCCATGGGAAAAGGGTTACTGTATCGATAGCTCGGGATACATAAGTTTGATGCATATCACGGCGTTGACGGATTTCATATCAAGGCCATGGCAGCTGATTGGGATGATTAGGGTGATTTTTGAATCTGCAGAGTTATTGCAATATACGGCATGTATATGTGACCGGAAGATCGTGGGCTTGACGGAAGCATGTATACAAAACGTACAATTTGACATGCTCGACAACTTTGCTCTCTTCCAATGATGGGCCAAATGCCAATTTCCTGATTTACGAGCACACATTGCACAGAAGTCATGTGATTGCACAAACCCAGTGTATTGGAACTGTCTGAGCCTAGCACACTTTCCCTCCTCGATACGTGGCGCCCAAAAAGCCCGCCACTTAAGCAGCAATGGTGACCTCGACCTCGACGCCGGCATCGATGTTGACAATGATTTGCTTGACAACCTCGGTAGGGGCGTGAAGACTGTTGAAAATGAAAGGAAAAAAGAAATCGTCAGCAAAAAGAACACGCATACTACCTAGCGTGGCAGCTCAAAAATCGGGGGAGCCAGAGTATAAACGCACTCAATGAGACGCTTGTGGATGCGCATCTCGTACGAGTCCCAGGTCTTGGAACCCTCACCGCAGGGAGTCTTGCGGGTGGTGATCTTCAGGGTCTGCGTGGGCAGGCGGACGGGGCCCTTGACGCGCAGGTCCTTGCTCTTAGCACGGTCGAGGATCTCGCTGCACACCTTCTCGAGGACATTGACCTTGCGAGAGGTGAGGGTGATGCGGATCTTGTGGGCCTTCTGTACATTGCGGAAAAGAAGAAAAGCCCACGTCAGCAAATTGTCTTGTTGTACGAGGAAATGCATCTGGGGGAGGGGAGCTTTTGTTTTCGTAGTCGGCCGTCATATATACTGGGGGGGATGAAACGTACGGGGGCCTCGCCAATATCCTTTTCGGCCTTGTTGTAAGACATGTTTGCTGACGGATTGGAAGTAGGTAGATGGAGAGGGAAAAAAACTTCACGACTCGACACGCGAGGGAATCGGCGACGTTATCGGCAAAGTGATGAAGTTTGCTTGGTGGGTTGGTGAGAGGTTCAAAGATCGCGAACTATTTGGTGGGGGGTTGTTGGATGTATTTTGCAAAGTCGTAGGGCTTTTTTTGTGCGCGCTAGTCCTGATTGGGGTGTTGGAGGACAATCTTGCCTGTGGAAAAGGGTACGTACCGTCCGCAAGGTGCAGCGTGGGGCGGCGGGTCGGCGCTGCGGCATCTCTCTGCGTGTCGTGGGAGCTTCAGCAAGGCGAGGCGGGATGTGTGGACTCGGGATGATTCATCCGGCAGGACGAGATTGTGAAATATATATATTTCAATAATGCTTCCGTGGACGCCATTGAATTCTCATACAATGGCATAAGCACCGGGAGCTGCGTTTAACGGACTGCTCTTTATCCATTTTTACTTTTGACCTTCATTCTGGCATCACTCCGCACTGAGATTACGTCCGTGATGCGTCTCCCCCCGTTGGCAGCCTTCCCCAAGGCCTCGTGGCAGCAACAGCTTCCGCCTCAGGAATGGGACTCGCTTGTGCAGGCGTGGGTAGCGCTCTGCAGCGCCTATCTAGACCTCTCAGACGACGACTTCAAAAAGCAGACTGAATCGCACGCCTCCCTCGTTACATTCTCATCGACGTTTGTGCATGAAGTTGTCGCGGCGCCTTCGATATCAAAGTCCACACTGCTCCTCCGGCCCGTGTTCCACTTGACTTCGCGGCTTTTGAGGCTCCTCGCCCCCCCCGCCCTGCTGGAATATTCATTCCTCGCAGACTTTGCCAGGATATATCCCAAAAAACGCACCTCTCCGCTCATCGCCGGCCTCTTCAGCACTCACTCGAGTAGTACACACATCGAAGCCTCTCTCGCGACTCTCAAGAAACTACTCATTCCAATCCTCGACTCCGGCATCAAAGGGGATCTGAAATTAGTTGAGGCTAAGCTTGTCTCGCTTAGCCCGTTGTTACATGCATCACCGCACGCGTGTATACAATTGATGGCTGGTTCAGATTTCTTCGAAGGACTGGCGACGTGCTTCAAGGTTATGAATCCGCCGTTGAGAAAGGCCATTGTCACGACCACGTATCTATGCGTAGTTGGACTGACGGAAGCGGAACCGCCAAAGTGGTCGATGCTGAGTGACCAGCTGTTTACGCTGAAGACTGTTGCCGAGGAGCACAGGATGGGACCACTGAATGCGAACGACTCGCTTGTGGCGGAACTGGTTACTGCGACGCCGTTGTTGAAGGTTTTGCTGAGGAGGGCCGAGGAACGCGGCGCCGCTACGGAGAGCTTGAAGAAGCGGATTTCCGTGTTGGAGTCGTTTAAGAAGGGACCGATGGCAAGGCCAAAGCGACCTGTCAGGAGGAAGGTTGATAAAGGCAAGGGGAGGCAGACAAATGAAGATGTGCAGGCTGAAATGCATGTCCATCACATGAGTCAAATAACTCATGTTCAAGACTTGTTCCCCGATCTTGGGGCTGGTTTTGTGTCCAAGTGTCTGGATGAGTACAAGGATGATGTGGAACTAGTCGTGGCGAATCTACTTTCGGAATCACTGCCGCCTCACTTGGCTACGGCGGACAGGAGCGAACCTTTGTACGTGGAGACGGGACATCAATTTCAGGTATACTGAAATCTACAAAAGTCATTATACTAACAAGTTCACACACAGATCGTCTCATCAAGACATTCCTCATCAGTCAAACCTGGCGCCTCGATCTACACCACCGCAAGTTCCAACTAGACGGAACGTATTTGACGATGATGAATTCGACCGCCTCAGCGCTGACGAATCCAAAATTTCATTCGGCAAGAAGCCGCAGAAAAACGCTGATGAACTCCTAAAAGACAAGTCCGCAGTGCCAAACAAGGCTGCCATACTGTCTGCTCTTGCATCATTTGACTCCGATGATGACGAGCGCGATGACACATATGATGCAGCCGATGTTGGCGGCACTGTGGACACAATGAACCAAGAAGTAGATGGGGTAAATGATGGAAATGAAGAAATCCTTTTCCGAGCATACCAATCGGACGAGAGGGTGTTTGGCCGAGACGTTGGCACTAGAAGGGGCTATGCGCGAACGAAACTGAGGGAAGAAACCGGTATGACGGACGAAGCTATAGAGGGATGGGCAGTCATGCTGGCACGAAATCCTCAGCAGAAGAAGAGGCTAGACGCCAAGTATGCTTTTGCAGGGCAACAGGTGCGACTCGAGCGCACGGCCTGGAGGGCTAGTCCAGCTGGTTCGGCTACTGAAGACAGCGACATTGATGGCGGAGCTGGTAGGGGTGGAGGAGGAAGAGGAAGAGGAGGAGGCGGAGGAGGAGGTAGAGGTGGACGCGGACGCGGAGGAGGGCGAGGACGAGCGAGCCGGGGCGGCAATGTCGCTGGAGCGACCGGTGAGAAAGAAACTGAAGCGGCGAGGAGAAACAAAGAGGCACACAAGGGGTCTCGAGCGAATCATAACAGGAGGGATGCCCGAGCAAAGAAGATGGCTCGCGGTGGTTTTGCCGGCTGATGTGGCCTGGGCCTACTTGCCAATTCTCTTCCTCTTTGGCTGATTCCCCATGTCGTAACCCGGGGTAAATATGCGACTCTGATCTAGGCAGATAGATCCTCGCTTCGGTACTTGCTCCAAGGCAGTAGCCTCAAGAATATCTCTCAACTCTGGTTCTTCTGGAATACCACGGGTCTCGTCTATTACGAGTGTCGTTGGATAATAATACTCGGCCGGCTCACCAGCTGGGAAGAAGTCCAAAGGCGGCACCGGCGAAGTGCTGTTTGCGAAAGACGAGCCGATTTCCTCGATGCCCGTGCCTCCACGGTTGCAGTCTCGTGGTGTAGCTAACTCAAATACATGCTCATTCGGCGTCAAGTCAGGCTCTGCTTCACCCCTGTAGTTGATCATGCTTTGTAACGACGCCCTCGAGCTTCTTCGGCTGTCTCGGTATGTTTTCAGGTCATAACACCGTCGACAAGAAGGGTAGACGGCATAACGGTCCGCCTCGTCTCGGGCCTGAGGCAGCTTAGGACGATGCTGCAACCCGCATTTCTCTTGGATGTCGTCGAAGATATCGGCAGCTGGAGTGAAGAATGTGATTCGAGGACCAGGACCCCAGTACTTGTTACGTCCCCATAACTGGCCATAAAGACAATTGGTTTCTGCTTCCACGATGGCGGCACCACTGTCACCCTCAACTCCAATACCTCCACGTATCCAAGAGTCCTCACTACTACATGAAGAGAACGGCTCTTCCACAAACCATTCACGAGTTGCTTTGCCGGTTCCGTTCTCTTCAGCGCTTACATAGGCGGGCATTTCGCACACCGTCCCTCTTTGGTAGCCCGATGTGCGGCCGCTGGATACGACAGCAGCACCCGGGCTGATGCCGCTCGTCCCGCCGCAAACCGATCTAATGAGGGGTTCCATAATGATCGGCTGAGTTTCAGAAGGGAAGCGACGAAGAATATTGGCACTGCCTCCCGACTTTCTGTCCGAAGTTACGAGAGCCCAGTCAGTGACTACGAGCGGTTGCTCCATCTCGTTGTCCTCCCAATAAGGATCATGTGAAATTCTTGTCGTCTTCAGATTCAGACCAGACGTAACGGTAAGGAGACCCAGCTTGAAGTCTGTCTCGTCCGAGAGGCAGTCATGTCCCTCAGCTAAACATGGACCTCGATCCTGCGGGGAAGGGTGTTCGATCTTCACCATTGACAAGTTCTGGTACGCATCCAAAAAAGGGTGAAAGTTTACTAGCCAGTATGACCTGTATGATAATTTATGGCATTAGTTGTATTTATTGCTGTTGTTCTTTCTCATTTCTACCTAAAGTGTCCCTAGTAATATTACCCCTCATTTTACCGTGTAACGTGACTTAATTCACTTTTCTTCTTAATAGGCTAAGGGGAAGGAAAACTAGTGTTAACCTTAACACTACACTAAGCTCTCTTTTAAAATCTATTATATATTACTCCCTTTAAGCTTTACTTATTTTAGGTTTTAATTAATTAAATTCTAATAATTAAACCTTAATAGCTTTAATTATTTTAATTATAAAATAAATTATTTTAAGTTATTTACATGAACTTTTTATGGTAAACCTCTCTTTATTAATTTAATTTTATAGAATATTAAAGATACTATTATAATTACTTATAAAAGATTTTCTTATATCTTATAAAACTTCTCTTTTAGTTTATTCTTCTTATTTAATTTCTCTTAAATTAAATTATTTACGTGAAATAATTAAAGAATATTTCGTAAGCTTTTATTAATAATAGCTTTAGTTTTTTAAGTGTAAATATATTCTCTTCTCTTTTCCTAGAAATTAATTTATATTAGATTAGTTTCTTATATTAATTCTTTCTCTAATAATATTTCTTTATTTAAAATTAAGTCTTTTACTCTCTTATATTATAAGTATAGTTTAAATTCTAATATTACTATTATTAGGCTAGCTTTTATAATAAGTCTTATAGTAAATAAATAAAATACTAGTTTAAACGTAATCTTCGTTTCGTGTTTTTAAGATATTACTTTTAAGTTTAAATTCTTAAAGTAAAATCTATTATTATAATAGATTTTCCTTAGCTATCCTATAATTAATCCCTAGCACTTATCTTAAGTCTTAGTAACTACGCTTCTAGTAGCTTTACTATAGAACTAAGCTATAGTAAACTAAGTTATATAATCTACTATTATTAATATATAAGCGTTCCCGTTTTAAGCTATAAGTATAATAGAGCTTAAATAATTTATAACTATTAAGTCTTATAGTTTTAAAATAGTAATTATCTT